AAAGAGGGAATGATTACCATGATTACATACCCAAAACATCAATAGGCATTAAAAAGTCCTCTCTTTGGGACATAATATTTTTCTTTATTTCTGTCTCAAATATTTCCTCTCTACTTTGTTACTTCTATATATCTAAAATGTAAATAATGTATAAAGACCCTTGAGGAAAGGCTACTGGGCTAGGAACACATAACTGGACCATCTTTATTGTCTATAGGAAGTTACCTTTGCTGTGGACCCATTTCCAACAAACGGAAGATGAGATGATTGTTCTTTAGAGCAGAACAGAGTTTTTTTGAGCTAGGGAGTGAAACCAGAACTTAATGAAGGCAATTTATACGTTACCTAACTCATCTTCTCCAAATCCCAAAATGTGACCTGAAAAGTAGCCCCGACAGGAGCCACTGGTACCCAGACAGAGGGGTTTTTCTTGCCATTGTTTCGTCACCGGACTTTGCTGGAGCGTTAAGAAATTCCTACAAGAAAACACGCCATAAACCTACAATGAAAACACATTTTTTGCTTAAACACCACTATAAAATGTTTTAAAATAAAAATTGTAATAAACGTCATACCAAAGGCGTAGCTTCGCCAGAGAAAGAAAATCTACCCCATCATGTACGGCAGCGCTGTGACATTCCCAGGGGAAGAAAATGCACTTAATATGCTGCGTGCAGGGGGCATTGAAAGCGTGTAAGCACAAGAAAGCCTCCTCTTTATCCAAGGAGGATACTTCTCAGCCAGGACTCAACTCCTGGCTGCGCTGCTGATCAGGCAGGGTCTGGGAAGAGCATTGGTCCAGTACAGTTTCCTGTCCCATGCAGCCACCAAACATATCAGTTCTCCCACGTGTCTAAATGCCAGCAACTTGGGGAACAAGATTCTTAACATGAGTTTCATCAGTTTCTTATAATTATCCACCACAAGACCTCAAACATTCAAGCTATAATTTTATTTTGTATTTTGTAGTATCTTTTCTTAGGCAGACAAATTACGTCGTGTTGTTCAAAGTCTTGAAAGTTTGGAAGAAACAAAATTTCTACTTTTCCAGGATACTTATTTTTTTAGTTTTTCTTTTTTGAGACAGGCTCTCCCTGTAGCCCTAGCTGGCCTGTAACTCACTATGTAGACAAGGCTGGCCTCAATCTCACAAAAATCCACCTGCTCTGCCTAGTGAGTGCTGGGTTAAAGACATGTGCCACCATGTCTTGCATACAGGGTAATTTTTAAAATAGTTTTTACAACTCATGCAAATAAAATTTTTAGTTAAGTTGTAAAGGGGGAAATATAAATAACATGGAACTCCATGAAAGACTTCTCTGCCCTTAAAAATGATCCCAGCACCCACATGGCAGCTAACAACTGTCTATAACTCCAGTCCCAGGGCATCTGACAGCCTCTTCTGACCTCCACGGGCATCGCACGACATGGGTGCACTTACCTACATGCAGGCAATACACGTATACACATAAAATAAAAATAATTAATAAAAAACAATTTCCTGGACTTGACCAAGTCTTCTGAAAAGCATCTCCTTGGAAGTTTTCCAATGAAACTTCCAGAAATGTTGGAGCACAGAGAGGTAATAACATTTATGTGTGTCCAAGATCTGACTCAAGAGGGAGATAGCCACTTGAATAAATTTTGTGTTAGGGTGCCGACTGACGGAGATGTCATTTGGCCTATGTAATTGTGGTGTCAAGGAACATACCCGTTACGGTCTCCAAACACGTAGCTTCCATACAGTCTTTCAGACTGACAGCCTCGGTAAATGAACCCACCAACCAAAGGGCCGTTGCTGAACGGCTTGAATTCTAAAAGCGATGGCTCACTTTCTAGGGAAATATAAGCATAGCATTATATCAAATGAAACATATTTTCAGCAAGTGAAAGTGATATAGACCAAGTAATGAGCATTATGATAGTTTGATTCTGAATTGTGTTTTGCAATGCAGGGCATGAATCCTTGTTAGAAATTCTGATGACGCTCATGAGAATTCTTGAAATAGCATCCAAATGTGAGCTTGATGAGATGAGAATGACTTTCGTGAGCTTGCTGATGTTGGAACTGTCGGGACATACTAGGATTCCAGTAAAATTAGAATCTGAATATTTTGAGATTATTGGTATTTACTTTAGAATCAAAATACTTTTTAAGTAGCTAATTTTTGAACACTTAAACTTTTTGTAAAAATGGTTTTGTTTATATTTGGTAAATCAAACCAGACCTCTGTCAAATCATAAAGTGTTTAAAAAATTTTTTTAAAGTTCACACTTTAATGAAAATAAAAACATAGTACATAAAAGGTCTTTAAATCTCCATTTATTGTATTATTAAAAGCACTGTCACTTAGCCTAGCAATATCTTCACTTAAAACATTTTAATAGTTTTGTTTATAGAGCTGCGTGGTTAGCAAAGTCTGCTCCAGTCACTCCTTTTGAATTATATGTGTTCAGTCATGTATCTCAATTCTTGCATGCACGCTGTTCCAAACTTGAATATATGTTCGTTAATTGCAATGGCAATGCTCCCAAGCTAGTGGCAAATTCATCTGAGGACTACTTTGCATGCATTTGACGTGAAATAAGTCACCATTAGCAGGCGGTACTTTATGCCAGAGCGCTTGTGGAAACAGCCTGTTCTTCCCCTCTGCCTACAGTGACTATGATATGATAAAAATATGAAAAGACAAGTTTTAAATACCCAGCCCCCTGAGCAAAGGCATATTTGAGTGACTAAGGTCAAGAACACTGGAGTCAGGCTGCTCCAGTTCAGATCCCCCCTTTACCACCCCGTTTTGGATGATCATTAACCTTTCTGCACCTCTATTCCCCTCTGTGACATAGCTGATGATGAACTCTATTGCCTAGAGTAGTTTAGTAAAGTTTACAGTTGCTCATGATAGGATGTGCCATGAGGTTAGCACTTTGGATTTGTTTTAAAATACATAAATGTAAAGCTATTAATACCCTAACTGGTTTTGTCTGAACTTCGGTGAATGTGATTGTAGAATTTAGTTTAATCTCCAGATAGATCCAAAAGTCCATTCAACTAGTTAGTGGCTCATTAGGTATTTTTTCAAACCACATTATTCTTTGGTTTGGCTTTTATAAGGCGCGCGCACACACACACACACAGAGAAATACCTGAAAAAAAAAATAACTGAATACCACATGAACTAACACAGTGGCTTCATTCCTACTGTTAAATAAATACCTCTATTGCATGAGCAAACATAAGAGCAATCAATTTAATAATCTCAATCTACTGTGTTCCCTAAATCATAATAATGTTTAATATATTACACCCTTCAAAAGGAATATATACCAAAACACTGAAAAATACCAAGTGATTTGGACTTCGTTCTCCAACTTCATATTTTTATGTTCTCTCTAAATAACTCCAGTAATCATGTTATTAAAACTAATGCTTAAATATTTCATTCCCATGACTTGTTTTTACAAGTCAATTGCTTACTTTGTTTTCTCTAAAATAAACCCATTTAAAAATTACTATTAGAAACACATCATTTTCCTAATTGTGGAGACTTGCATGTTGAATATCCAGTAATTTCTTAACCTTAAGACTTATTTCTCTGTTGTAAGATAGACAAGTTCCCCCATATAATAGTAAGCAAATAAAAGTTACTCATCTTGAGTTTCAGATGAGTAAAGTATATAAATTGCTGACTTTTGAAACCACTAAATTATTTGGACCTGTAGAGAGCCATTTAATCCATGAGAAAGGTAATTAACCAGACAGAACCCTCGGGCGTCTTAAGAGTCCCTGAACCTTTAATGCCTAAGCAGTTAACTCTCTCACCTCTGCCAGGCCAGTGCTTTCTCAAATACTCATTATGTACAAATCCTTTTCTCATCCATTAAATTCATACTAAAATGAATGTCCAACTAGAAGAAAACCAGCAAATTAGGCTTGACTTACCATAATCTTTCCCCTTTATTATTTGTAGGATTCTGGCTGATGATCTGTTTTTCCCATTGGAGTCTGAACAAAGTATTGTTAAATTGATGTTCATATCAGTGGGATGTCGATCCACCACACATCTGCAAAACAGAAGCAGATACGCATTAATTCCTACCAGGTACCTTTGTAGTTCCACTGAAGATTCCTGACCCAGGGAGGAGCCTTTGTGGGCTAGTGAGGCTCCCAGCAGCAGGTCAGCTTGGGTTCTTGAAACCACTGAAGGAGACACCCTGATGTGCTTGTTTGCTCTTCTGCAGCGTCATGACCTCTGGAGTGTATTTCTTACTTTCTCTTGTTTTCCTGTTAATGAATATTCACACTGTCTTAAAATCTTTGTTAGCCTATTGGTAAGGATGATCTCAGGCTTAACACATTGAAAAAGTTTAGAAATGTGAATCAGTGTCACAATCAAGTCACAGCTATAATACAATATAATATTAGCTTTACTACTAGTATTGTATTTCTTACATGGTATGAATATATTATTTTTTAGATTTTATATATATATATATATT